CTGATTTTAGCACTGGTTTTGCATTTTTGGCTGTGTCCTTCTGAGGCTGAAGACGGAGTAGACTCCCTGGCTGCTTTCTTATTGAATACTGCCCATGCCAGGCAGCTTAGTCTGATGCTAAGAGGCAAAACATATGTGCGTCACCACGGGGCCACAACCCTGGAAGGATCTGGTGAAATCTGCTGGGACAGATCCAGGGTCAGCATCCAGCTCAGTGAGAACTGAGAGCTCTTGAAACAATCATAAATAATAACAAAAATTATCTCATCCTTCCTGGACTGGGAATAGGTAAACAGTGCTGACTTAAGGCTTAAAAACAAGATAAACTCAGAAACTGCATTGCGAGGTGATCAATCCCCTTACTGGCAAGGAGCAACCAAATTGGCAGCCAGCTCCAGGCTTCAGAGAGCACAGCAGATAAATGAACAGGTGAGCAGCTCATAAATTCCTAAGTGCAGAAATGCAAAAGTCTGGAAGGACTCTGACTCTGTAATGGATAGCAGGGAGGCTGCAGACTCCCATTTAAAGGAGATGGTTCATCCATTGGTAATGCTATTCACAGGCATCCCTAGCCTCCTATGGGCAGGACCATAAAGCTGCCCAGGGAGGTGGTGGAACCACTGACTCTGGAGGTGTTTAAGAGAAGGGTAGATGGTGCACCGAGTGACATGGCTTAGAGATTTGGCACCCCAAGTTCTAAGAGCTCTAAGAGTAAAGCTCCACAAGATTTTAGCCTCTGGATCCCCACTATCATCACCCTTGTGCTTTTGCCAGCTTCCCAGCCTGTGTTGTACGCTGGGGAAAAGACCTTTTAATGCAGAAAGTTGCGGGCAGGCAAGAGCCGGTCCTGCTTTTAGTGAATTAGTTCATTGACTCCTTTTTCATTCCAAGAAAACCCCGCAGGGATGGATTGTATAACCCTCACTCAGCAAGGGAAAGGAGATAAGTGCTTCATCATGCAAGGAAAAAGGGATTGGAGAGATACTCTCCTCTCCTGCAGTGCCCCCTCCTCATCCAAAGACACTGAATTCAGGAGAAAATGGAAATAGGACAAAATCCCTATGGACAAGTCAGTCTAGATATATGTCAGAGAAGTGGCTGCTGAAAAATGGTATTCCCCAGTTCTTAAAACAAAATAGCTATTGTATGGCTGGAAACAAAAAATATAAGTAAAAAGGGCTGTGAAAGAAAGCATCTCTCCTCAGTGCCAAAGCAGGGTTGAAAATGCCCCAATCCTCCAGCTGGAAGACCTCCTCCTGCCCACAGCCCTTCTTAAAATGTCTGGCCTTTCTTTTTCCAAAGAAAACTACGCCAGCTCACAGCTTCTCCCTTCCAAACATCTTTCATAGAATCACAGAATCACAAGATTGGAAAGGACCTACAAAATCATCCGACCGTCCTCCCACTAACTTTGCACACCACAAGCCACTAAACCATATCTCATAGCTCCTCATCCAGACTTTCACCCAGATAGCATTGCCATTTAGCAAGAACCTATCTTTGCACTGTTCAATCAGGGTCAAACTCCCTCGAGAATTCCTGTAGAGAGAATTTGGTGCTTGAGAGCAAACTACAAAGAGCTAAAAAAAAATATCCTGATAACAGGGATGGAGAGCAGGACCCTTCCCCTGAAGACAGGATGGTGTAGGCTTCATCCAGGACAGTTCCTATAGTTGTTGCAACCCGTAGGCTTGAGCTCACAGTGCAAAGGTGCAGCAGCACCATGACTATTCATGATCTAAGTCTTCCATCTGGTCTAATTTACTTCCCATTGGGCATAGTGATGACTTGGTGACCAGCCAGAAAGTCTCAGCAGCAGACAGAATGAGTCCAGGTCCTGAGCCAACAACTGGTCCTCTTTGAAACAGGGAGAAAAGACACCCTTGCTAAGGCCAGGAGGAACTAATGAGCCTAATTTAACCCCATATCAATCTCATGGCATCTCCAGTAGCAGTCTGTACACAAGAGCTGTGTTTTGAGTCAGTGATTTTAGGAGTGGTGAGCTGTTTTCCAGCAGGGTAGACAAGCCTCTTCCTCTCCAGACCATGAATGGTGTTCCCAAGGAATGGGATGGGATAGGATAGGGGAATTGAATGGAGTGGAATAGAGTAGAGTAGCTCAGTTGGAAGGGATCTTCACAGATCATCAAGTTCAACTGCCTGACCACTTCACAACTAACCAAAAAGTTGGGCTTTAACCAATTGCCTCCTGAATATAAACAAGCATGGGGCATCAGCCACCATTCTGGAAGCCTGTTCCAGTATCTGATCACACTTACAGTAAGGAAATATTTCCTGACATCCAGTCTGATCCTCCCCTGGCACAGCTTCATGCTGTTCCCTTATACTCTGTCATCCAGATCACTGATACAAACACTGAACAGGACGGGTCCTAGAACTGAGCCCTGAGGACCACCATTAGGAAGTGGCTACCAGCCAGATGTCACCCTGCTGACTATGATCCTTTGAGCTCAACCATTGAATTAGTTCATCATCCAGTGTACTGTGACCTCATTTATTGCACAGTTGGACAATTTGTCCAGAAGGATGTTGCAAAAGTCTAAATAAAATCCAGAAAAATTACATCCATTGCTTTCCTTATTTCAGCCCTAATTTCTGTCTCCCAGCCTGTATGTCTGCCAGCCTCTTCCCAGTACCATCTCTCCTCATTTATCCAGCCCCTAAAATCCTGGATTATCTCACCTAATGCACAGACTATTTCTTCTTCACACTGCTGTTTCTTTGCTGCACCACAGCATCTGTATCTCCAATGGAACCTGCAAAACTCAGAGTTTGAGGATCAAGCACCATGTGCCCCATTACACAGATCTCTTTTGCCTTCATACAGCAGCAGACAGAGGGAGAAGGAGCTTCAAGCACTCAGCCCAAAACACCAAGTTTAATCCCTGATGCAAACGCCAAGCTTTGCTGCCAGAAAGAACCCCTAATGCTGGCCAAGCCAGCTCCAGAATTTGATTTGGCTCAGCAACAAAACAGTCTCATTTTTGAATGGCTACACAAAACAACAGCTCTTCAAGACCCACTTCCTGGTATGGCTTCCCTCTCTCTGACACACTCCAGCAATTAGCTTTCTGGCTCAGCTGTGCTGGAAGATGAAGTCATCCAGAGAGCAGCCACCAGAGCTAAAGCCCAGCATGAGGGCTTGTCCAGCTGCTACATCTGCAAAAAGCTGGCTTCCAAAGGAGATCTGGAGGCCAGGAGAGCAGGGAGGGTGGGAAGATACTCTGGGAAAAAACAAGGCTGAGACCATTACAGAAAACACTGCAGCACCAGATGTGGGAGGTTATCTCAAGTTGCCCAAGTTGGGTTATTCACCAACTGCTCCAGGAAGGCCTTCCCTTCTCCCATCAAACAAGAGGGAGAGTGGTGCAGAGATTGTTTTTTTTGGCCACTGCAGGTTCTGGGTGTAAGTGGAGGAGTAGAAAGGATGAAGCAGTTCCAGTTGAGGCACTGAAACAAGTTGCCCAGAAATGTGTGTGTGTCCCATCCCTGGAAACACCCAGGGTCAGGCTGGATGGGCTCTGAGCACCTGATGGATCTGTGGGTGTTCCTCTTCACTGCAGGGGAGTTGGACCAGATGGCCTTTAAGGGTCCCTTCCAACTCAAAAGATTCTATGCTTCTAGGTATGGGAAGGGAATGAAGGTACTTGCACACACAAAGAATGGGAATGAGACCCTGCCAGAGCTAATTCCCACCACCCCAGTGAGCTCAGTGCAGTTACTTCTCACACACCAGTGAAAAGCTTAGCTCCTACATACCACTTCCCCACACAGATGGTAAGCAACACCCTTTCTGTGAAAGCAAACAGCTGTTGTAACATCCAACACTTCTTATTTCCACTCTCCACCCACCCTGTTTCCACAGCAGAGCCCAGGGCATGGTGTACTCTTGAGCCTTATCACTCAGCCTGAGCTGAAACTCTCCCAAACAAATCATGGCCATGGCCCTGAGAGATAGCAGAGGTGCGTGCACAGCATCCCCTGCCTGCAGAGAGCGTCCCAAGGTCTTGTGGACTGCATTTCTGGGTCAGGAAGCCCTCAAAGGAGTGCTTGCTGAGAGCTGGGAGTGTCACTTTGCATGTTTTCTAAATGGGGATTGATGATGGTTGAGCTTGATGATTTTAGTGGCCGTTTCCAACCTTAATGATTGCAATGTAAGGAAAGGGTTGCTGACAGTCACAGAAAAAAAGATGTTGGCGGGACAAAGGGAACAAAATGTGCACACAGTACTTTGCACAAACATCAAGGAAGAGCCCAGGACAGAGCAGAAGGAATCACACAGAGAGAAATGAGATCTCCTTCTTCAAGGGCCTGCCGGGATGCTGGGCTCAGCCGCACAAAAGGAGCCTGTTCAGCACCAACCCTCCCATCACACAGAGCCCTTTTATTCACCCCACGGACTGCCCTGGAGCTCTCTCTTCTCCAGGCTGCACAGCCCCAGCTCTCTCAGCCTGTCCTCATTGGAGAGGATGGTTCCATCCTTTGGATCACTTTTGTGGCCCTGCTCTGTATGCACTCCAACAACTCCATGTCTCTGGTCATGGTTGCAGATTGGACCCAGCACCTCTACACTCAGCCCTCAAAGCCCACCTCTTCAAAACCCCCCAAACACCTCACCTGCTCATAGATTATTTTCTTTTTCATTTGCAAATGCATAAGCAAGGAAATACAGCTATCTCTTTGCTCTACTAGATCCACCAGAATATGATCCAGCAATCAGGTTGCAAAGCATCTCCCTGACTTATGCACAAAGAAACAGAGTCATGGAGAAACTCCCAGTGGGCTCCTGGGCCCACTCCTCAGTGCAGCAGGTCTCCTTATATTCACAGAGGTTCATGCTGCTGATAAACCTTTCCAGAGAGAGGATAGCTTGTCTGGGACTTAGTGTTGCAGTTGGTAAAGCACTGGGCATTTTGGGGTTTCCTGAGCGATGGGGTGGTGGAAAGCAGCATTAAGAGGCAAGGGAATGGGCACACTTACTTTTGGCCTCTTCCACTGAATGCCCTGGATCCTTGACTTGTAGAAGAGTGAGTCATCGTTGGCGGGGAAAAGAGGGTCCTCAAAGAGCTGCTTTTTCCTCAGGCATTCCTTCTTCAGGGCAGCGTAGCGCTGGTTCTCATAGGGCTTCACTGAGGAAAACATCCTTTCCTACCGACTCTGGGGGGACAGAAAAAGCAGGAGTGAGATGGGTAGGGTATGGCTATGGATACCCCACCCTCCTCTGCTACACCTGGACCCAAAAGTCACGGCTAGAAGACATGGAGACCAAAAAGGCATGGCTGGAGGACACCCCCTGGCTTCTGCCCAAGCCTTCCCCCAGTTTTGACTGGTCTGAGTTACTGCACACTTTTTGGGTCCTTTAGAGCACCTGTGGCTCCCTCTCCTATAAGGATTAAGCCATACCACAAGGTATCAGCACGCTCCAGTTTAAACAGGCAGGAAAAAGCCTGTATCTGAATGAGGAGATGGGTGATTCCTCTAAACTAACTGATTGCCTGGACTCATGTCTCTGAATTCCCCCAGGGTTGGACGAACACCACTCAAACAGGCACAGAAGGAGATGACAGCCTGACTTGCAGTGAATTCATAACCTGTTTGGGGTTTTCCTGAGGAAAACTGAAGCCTGAAGATGCCTCCAGGTTAGCTGTATGTGAGCAGCTTTTATGGTCTACTGCAGAGCAATGGGGCACCCTGGGTGGTGCCTACACAGAGCAGGTTCTCAGCCCACTATCACACAGAGGGAACTTTGTCATGGTTAATATTAAACATTTCAAATCCTGGATGCCCCATTTAAAGCAGGAAACGTTCCTCAGTCGTCTCGAGGTGATGACCATTTATCTGCTCAGAAGGCAGCAATGAGTGCAGGCCATCCCCAGAGGGCCAGGGTTTCGAGAAGCACCTTCTGCTCAAAATTAAACACACACACACACTTCATGGTTTCATCAGAGAAGCCAGTTCATCAGTAGGCTTGATCAGATCTGTTTTTAATTAAAAAAAGACCTCTTGGCAGCAAGCCCTGTGTTTTTAGATTAATTATTCTGTCTTGACAAGCTTCTAGCTTCTACGGTAGAGACATGAATTTAGGAATCCAGCAGACAGCAGAAAACCACTGTCCAGATGATTCTGAGAGAAAGCAGCATCTCGTCAAGGACCCTCATTGCTTGGTCATTGGGTACCAACCCTTTTGCTTTGGTTCTCATCCCTCCATCCCATAAGAAGAATTCTCTCACCTCAGACAGAAGGGAAGGGGGAACCTCCTGCAGTTTTCCACTCTACTAAACCATAGCCCCTCTTCTACAGCTACTTCCCTAAAAGTACCCCAGATTTAAATATTCATGCATCATTTTTCTCTCTCCCCAAAATAGGGCGTCCTGTTGATTCTGTTGATCATTACTGAGCCTGATGGAGTTGCAGGTATCCCTATTTACTTCAGTGGAGTTGATGACATTTAAGGTCCCTTCCAACTCAAACAACTCTATGATTCAGCAGAATATACATCCAGCAGAATATATATCCAGCAAGCTGACCAAACTCACTGATCCCAGCAAGATGTATAAATACTATATCCCTATTGTGGTTAATGAATATCCACAGATATGAGAAGGAAGTTGCAGGAAGAGCTGACTGGGAGCAGAAAATGTGTGAACATCCATAGTCCCAGGGACTGTACAATCACTTATGTGATCATACACCCATGTCAGAGTGGTTTCACTTTCCTCATTGATGAATTAAGTAGATATTGGAGAGACAAATCAGTGCCCTTGCTGAGAGTATCATCCAACCGACTGACCTTCTCTTGCCTGGGTGAGATGAAAACACTTCACTCCTGCAAAGCACAGGTTTTAATTGCTGGCATTTATCAGCTTGATTAGGAGCACAAGTGCTTATCAGCCAAGGCCTGATTGAAGCCAAAATAACCCACTTGTTGTTAGCTCCACAGGTCTCCTTGCTGCTGAGGTCTGGTTGCTAAAGCAGCTTGTGAGGTACTTTGTCACCCACATTTCTCCAACATGCCTTGTGTCTCCCAGCATGGGATAATTATGCAAAAGGGTGATTAGGCCCTTACTTAAATGAGATCTAAATTCCAAGAGAAGCACTGCCCTGGATAGACTTCATAGGACAGTCTGGATGTGGCTCTGGGCAGCCTGGTTTGGTGGTTGGTGGCCCTGCACGCAGCAGGGGGGTTGAAACTAGATGATCATTGTGGTCCTTTACAACCCAGGCCATCCTATGATTCTATAACTGGGGCAATAGGTTGACATATCTTCACTGGGAAACCACTGGTACTGTATGGTCAACAGCCCACTCACCCCAAGTCCTTCCTCTGCAGGCACAGTGTTCAGTGATGATCCTGCAGGACTATGGATTTGGAATTGTATAGTTTCTAATGCTTTATCTAATGATACAAAGGCAGGGGGAGAAGGATTCTGCTATAGCAGATATAAGATGAATTATTCAAAGACACGAAATACGTGTCTTTATAGAGGGGAAAGGATGTATCCATGAGATGCTGTGCAGAAAGAACTTGTGAGAGTTAGGAATAGAGCCTGGAGGGGAGGGGAAGTCTTGTGACTTTTGAAAAGCCATGCTCAAGTTAAGGCAGAAGTTATGGCTTTGATGCAGGAGATGCCAGCCACCACTCCACTGCCTGTCCTGTGGCCAAGGGCTGGCATCTGGGTGCTTATTCATAAGATTACTGCTCTGCAATCACAGCTTGGAGCTGCTTTTTCCAACGACCTTTGCAATGTTTACCTCCTTGTGATGCCCTTGGCAGTGAGCATCCTGATGAGAATGGGTCAAAAGTTCTCCAAGCCAAGCTCATCAGCCTTCCTGTGGCCCAAATCTGCCTGTGGGGGTGACTCCTTGCCTTCTATCCCACACAGGGTGACTGTCACCCTTGGCCAAGAGGATGGAAATGGTTGGTCAGGATGGATGGGGCTCTGGGCAGCCTGGTCTGATGCCTGATTTAGTGGCTGGCAACGCTGCCCATGGAAGGGGGGCTGGAACTTGATGATTTTTGAGGTCCATTCCAACCCAAGCCATTCTATAATTCTATGAAATAGGATTGAGTTGCAAAGAAAAAGCCAAGCTAAAGGAGAAAGGAAAATGCTCAGGACCCTTTTTTTTTTTTCTTTTTTTTTTAAATTGCAAAATAATTGAAAGGGAGGGCTGGGGGAAATGTTTTTGGGGCAGTGTTAAAAATCATTACTCTCTTTAATTTGCAGCATTTCATGCTTACCAGGCTGAACTTCAGATCTGCCACATTAAAATGCTGAAGGACTGCCTGAGCACCCTTTGCCTCCTTGCACAAAGCTAGCATGCTCACGGAGCAAGGAAAGCAGACATCATTAACAAAACCCCACACATGTGTTTGTGCATGGGTAACAAATGAAACCCGTGCTTCCAACCCCTTTGCAGAGCTGAAATGGAACAGAGATCTGAGCCTGACCTCAGTTCAGCCACCAAGCAGTTAAGCAAGAAGCTGTTTGCTGGGGAGGGAGCCAGATGCATGACTCAGGGCTGCTGTGGACTCCCCCTTCCAGCTCCTGCCAGCTGGTTGTGATCCCAGCTCCAAGCACTGAAACGGAATAACTATTGAAAGTGTCTGCACCGGCCAGGACCAAATGTCTGCTGATGTATTCCTTCCTTTCTCAGAAATCACTTCCTTTCCTATCCTTCTAGCTTGCAGGCTTTGCCAGCAAAGGCTCACCGCACTTATCTCAGGGCTGCACACTGGCCAGGGAGCAAAGGGCTCCTTGCTTGGAGATCCTACAGTTTTTATTTGTCTGGAGACATGTCAGACCAAACAATTTGTCCTTACAGGGTGCGATCTACGTTCTCACTGAGCAGGAGACACCCTTGGTATCACACTGCAATGTGGCACAGGTCAAAGAGAAGACGAGGTGGGGACCAGGCACGGCACTCACAAAGCCCCAACCAGGTGCAGTCATGAGGAAAATTTACAACCTACAAACCACAACTCTCAATGGCAGAATATTCAGAGTACTCAGAGCAGACAGACTCTGTTCAAAAATTTTGTTTAACTTGTCTTTTCCAGCCTTCTCATGTGCTTCTTTAGGAAGAGAGGTAATAGCCTTCAGTTGCACTAGGGCAGGTTCAGGTTGGGTATCAGGAAACATTCTCTGAAAAAAGGGGTAACACATTGGGGCAGGCTGTACAGGGAGGTGGTGGGGTCAACCATCCCTGGAGGTGTTCAGAAAACGTGGAGATGTGGCACAGTGGGACGTGGTCAGTGGGCATGGTGGGATGGGTTGGGGTTGGACTTGGGGATCTGGGAGGTCTTCTCCAGCCTTAATGCCTCCATGATTCTGTGGACACTGGGAATTGCTCTTCCAGCTATTGACACAGAAGTCCTGCCCTGCAAGGGAAATGCTGCCAACACAAGAACAGCTTTATGCACTCTTTTTCCACAATCTGGGAAAGAAGCAGCCAAACCACAGATCCCTTTCTGCACAGAACATGAGATAAGTGCTCCACACACATCTCTACAAACAAAAAAACCTCAAGATGCAGGCTATAAAGTGACACTCTCATTTAAGGGCCATTGGAACCAGCAGCACAGTTGGCAGCAGGTTTGAACTGCGTTCCCAAAGCTCTTTCCTATTCCCATGGGTGCATCCACCGTTGATTTGCTTGGACACAAAGTGGCATGGCCTGGAGCCAACAGCACCGCAGAGCATCCTGCGTGCATCAGCAGCATCCACAAGGACTGAGAGGTGAAGCCAGGTTGGTGAATATCCGAAAACAAGACATTATTTCTTCACAAATTGACTGCGGTTAACCAGGGATTTAATTCCTCTGGGAAGCTGTAGGTTCTTCATACCCAGATGTTTGGGAGCAGTTGGATGTTTTTCTAAGTAGCTGCTTTACACAAAGTGCAAATTACCGAGCATTCACAGCAGTCTCTTATCGAAAGAAAACCATCAAAAAACAGAGGACTGAATGCATCTCTCTGGTTTTTACCTTTCTGTTAATGTGACATCCCCAGAACATCACCTGTTCATTGCTTAAGAAATGTGTAGACGTGGCACTTAGGGACGTGGTTGAGTGGGCACGGTGGGGACGGGTTGATGGTTGGACCTGATGATCTTCGAGGTCTTTTCCAATCTTAATGATTCTAATAGACCCAGAGGGTC